TCAGCTGCCTGTTTTTCCTCTGCTAGGGAGTGTTACCTTCTTCACACAGGTTTGAGCCTTCTTATAGAGAACAGGTGCCTGGGCTTAATGTACCAGGTGTCTCGCTTAACCTCAGCCTTGTAATGAAAGACTAAGGTTTTACAGAGAAGGTGTTTTTTCCAAAACGCTGTGTAGACCTCCAGCAAACAAATGAGTTCATTTTTAAAAGCTAAGCAGCATAATGCTACAATTTTCCTTACGAGCTTACTGGACTTCAGCTGTATCCGTTTTATGTTTGCTTTGCAAAGCTCTGTATTCAAATGTATAAATGCTTCAGAAGGTGGTTTCTTAAACTTTCAGGAGTGGCATCCTCTGCAAAACTTCCAGTTACGGGAGTGATGTCTTTGTGATCCATTACAGTGGATTGCTAGTGCTACACTGTGTTTCGTGATGGGGAAAAATGGCAAATAGTTTTCATTCTGTAAAATGATGAAGACACATTCAATTTTGAAACCTTTGCTGCTCAAAGTTGATGGTTTTTATTTGGTTTATTTTTGTGAGAAATAGTTTTGCTGTTTTTCCCACTGCAGTATTTGAAGTTGTGTTAAATGTTAAGGTTTTCCACCTTCTGAATTAGTTGCCACAAATCTGTCTTGGGTTTTGTTAAACAGTAAAAACATTAAATACTGTTTGCCATACTGGTTTACTATATTTAAACAATCCTACAGAGTGGTTACAGTATTTTAAATTGTATTTAAATGTCTTTTCAGGATTTAGCTGTTCGATTGACTGATGATACTGATCCTTTTTTCCTTTATAACCTTGTCATATCTGAGGAAGATTTTCAAAGGTAATTGAAATTACAATGTCTTGTCTATGAAACATTTCTAAACGGCGAAAAAGAATGAAGGAATATTTTTAGCTTAGAATGGTTTATCTTAGAGTTTAGGTTTTGGCATTTTTCACTTGTGGCGTTTTGTCCGTGTTTATCTTTGACCAGTTGGTGAAACAGCCAGGTACAGGAATGTGATTGGCTCAGGGTTATACGGGTGAGTGGCAGAATGCTGGTGTTAAGTTCCCTGCATAGCCACAGTACCACAGTTGATATTGCTACTCCCATCTGCTGTTTATTGTGACTACTTCTTATAGACTATTGTATACGTGTCAACTAAAGAAATAACTGCGAGAGAAAAGTCTGTTTGCATGGACGTGGCTTCACGGACCTGAGCCGTTGTCTTGCGGGTTTCTTGCGTACTAGTTGTGCTGTTGAGTCTCGTTTTATGTTACTTGATCAGAATTTGGTCATCACATTTGGGCACCGGGCATGAACAGTTTGGTTTTTGGCTTTGTTGTGTGGTGTGTGTGGGGCTGGGTTGGTTTGGTTGGTTGGTTTTTGTTTTGTTTGGGTTTTTTTTTGAGAGAGATGTGATCAGTGTGTGGCTCAAGGCAAAAGTAAAACAGTTTGTGTAAAATAGATGTGCAGAAGTGTTTTGTCATACAAGGTGTGGCCTTGTGTTTGTGCTGTTGAATGCCTGCTTCTGTCTTTGAGTTTACTGTGTCTGTGGTGAAGGTGCGCGATGAAATAAACAAGTAGGCAGATAAAGTCTTGGTAACGGTTGAGCCTCCCCTCATTGTCATGAGTCTTCCGTGTGCCCCTGTCCCATAGCTCTACCACTCTGCTGGGAGGAAGACTTCTACTCAAAGGAGCATGTTTGTTGTGCCACAATAACTTCTTTTTTCTCATAGCACAGCCCACTTGCAAGAACTCTTGAAATCAAAAACTACTTCTGGTGATTATTATCCAAGATGTGATTTCTTCTGTGTTCAGGATTGAAAATGGCATGCTAGTGAATTTCAGTGACGTCATCAGGATGAGTTCTTTCTGCTAGTGTAAACAAAGTATTTTATAGGAAGTAAATTACACTTCTATATGCTGTTACTAATTTTTTTTCCCAAATCTTTTTATGTAGTTTAAAATCCCAGCAAGGTCTCTTGGTAGACTTTTCTGCTTTCCCACAGAAATTTATAGATCTGCTTCAGCAATGTATTCAGGAACAGAACAAAGATATCCCAAGGTAGGTACTAAGTACTAAGTGAGTGCCATGTTACTATGTGTGTATGTGTTGAGTTCTTAAAATGCTTGTCAGCCACTCGGACTGAGGAGAGTCAGTAGAAGAAGGATAATTTAACCTTCCCCTGGATGTATCCGAGTATCAGTTGGTGGATGTTACTGACAAAACCTATGTCTTGGGAGGACTGGGCAGTGGAATTGGTGCCTAATAATACTCTCCCCACCTGAGCTGAAGCTGGCAAGCTGCACAAGCTAGCAGATGGGCATGGATGCAGCACTCATCCCTTTTTTTTTATTTTGTTAAAAAACAGTTTAGTCCTTGAGAGCTAAACTGAATTTCATGGACCAAGGTATAAATCGTCCTGTTTCACAGGAGAAGGCAAAGTTATAAGCCATTCTGATAAGGATTTTTTTTCTTTCGCCTCAGTGTTCAGATATTAAGATGTGAGGGGGGAGACCTGAGGTCCACTCTTCCCTGTAGTGGCCGCCTCATACATTATTTTTGTTTGGGGGGTTGCTGGGGAGAGCCCTGTACCTCGCTCCACTCCAGCAGCCGAGCCGGTTCCTGGAGTGTGTACTGTGGGCTGTGAATTTTACTAGGCTGTAGGATACCTAAAAGTCACGGGTCTGTCTGCCTTTTGAATTCGGTTACAAAGGCCTTACTTGGTTTTGGACTCTAAGTCTAAGGTGGGCTTCTGAAGATTTAACAAATAAACTGATGAGTTTTGTGCATTTCTTGTTGTAAGGTGCAAGCATTTTAGTTGTACTTGTTTGTAGTATTAACTATAACATAGGGATTGAATTTCATAGTTCTTTTTCAGACAAAAACTGGACAGCCTTTTATTGTGCATATTAAAGTATGTTTTTATTTGGCAATAGCTTGTAGGATCTACAAGTAGTTTCAGGAAAAGAAATAAGCTAAATACTTGATTATTTGTGATTTTTCCCTAGGTTTTTGCTGCAGTTAGTTTCTTCAGCACCTGTTCTAGATCACACACCTGTCTCTTTAAATGTAGTGGAGACCAACCCTTTTAAACATCTTACCCATCTCTCTCTGAAGTTCCTACCAGGAAATGATGCAGAAATAAAGAAGTTTTTAGCCAGCTGTTTGAAACGCCTTAAGGTAAAGTGAAGGCTTGGCACAGCTGCAACTAGGCCTTGCTGCTATGTGTACTTAAGCATTTTTTTCAGTCTTAACAGGTCAGAAGCTGTATGCTCGGGTTTATTTTTGATTTTAGCTTATATATGTTGCTGCAGGCAGCTGTTTGGGTGCGTGTTATAAAACTCAGTGGTTACTGTCACTCTAGCAATGAAAATGTGACGTGTGTATTCAGTCAAGCACTACACTTTGAGCTGGCAGAAAATGAGGTATTTTACAGGTGCAGTGCGTGCAGCGTGCAGCTGCTGAATGCTGCGAATGCCTCGGTGTCTCCTGCTTCCCAGCCTTGAGCTGACGGCCAGATCAGCTGCAGAAGTGAGACACTGCAAACTGTCGATCTCTTCGCTCTGCGGTTGGGTTTAGGAAAGTGTGCGTGGAGTTGTAAGGCTTGGTGGGCGTCAGAGGGCTGGTGGCTGTACGTAGCAAATTGAAGTGGTGACGTTGCTGCAGTTGGTACCGTGCTAGGTTGTATTTAACAAGAAATTAATGGTCTCATAGTCTGACTGTTGTCTGTTTCGGTTTTGTAGCCTGTGATTTGTCTCCTACTGGGCTGTCATGTTTATAGCCACCTAATAAGCCATTTTGATAATATAAATTTATGGTACTTCTGGTGATTTGTTGTTCACACAACTCCTTTGTGAACAAGTCTTTATGGTGAGATGCTATTTGCTTATAGAAACTTGGTAAGAATTTAATTCAGAGTTTTTACCTTGTGAGCTAAAGCCTTTTCTTTTGAATTTATTAATTATCTCTTATTCAATATGAATTTTATTTCATAAGATGATTTTTCCACAAGTATAATGGGTACGTGGTTGCTTAGGCAGGGTATGCTGATAAAATGGAAGCTAAATACTGCTTGTGTTTTGGGAGCTAAGGATTTGCCTTGGTGTCAATTTGTACCCAGGAAGACAAAGTGATGTTGGAGGAAAAGCTTAGGAAAACTGAAGAGGATCTTACCAGACAACTGAGCTACACTCAACAGGTAATGCAAATTTTTAATTTTCCTGTTGTAATTTGCACTGTTTTTAATTGGTGGAAAATGTACCTCCTTGTGGGCTGGTTGGTTAGCCACTGCCCAGCCCAGGTAGCCGACTTAGGCGTGAGCGTGAAGAGCAGTCTGCTGTAGCTTTTCTTAGGAATGGGTGAGGTGTGCAACTGAAGAACAAAATTCAGTTCTTAAGTACTAAACCAGAGTGCTACTTTATTTTGTACAGAGGTCTGTCTGTATATGGACACATGAATAATTTACTAAAGGTATGGTAGTGCGAAGATAAATACACGCTCTGTATTCCATGAATGGTTGGAAATCCTGGTATTTGGAAAAATTGTGAAACCATGATAAATAAATCAGAAGTCTTGGGCTTCATGTTACTCTACTACTGTTGGATTTTTGCAGTCAGCCCAGTAATGACTTCACATTTGTGTTTCAAGAGGATGGTTTGGGTCCAATTCTAGAATTATCGAGGTGACTTTTTTTGTCTACCGAGAAACAGCAACACTCCATTAAAGCTGCTATTATGGAGCTTTTTTGGGACGGAATATTTGCTTACCTCATCTTTGCAGTTTCAGCTGGAATTACTGGGATGTGTTTGCTGAATTGGAATGAACAATTACAAATCAAAAAGAGGAAAAGATGCCACTGAAGAATTTATTTATTTATTTATTTTCCCCCTACTAGAACACTTTGTGTTATAAGGGTAGGGAACATCAGCAGGCTGGTTTTGCACTCTCAAATAGTGGTTGGAAGAAAATACAAGTGGAAATGAAGGTTATTTCATCCACAGTGTCAGAAAGGTGCTCTTTAGCTTCTCAGCGCCCTACTTTCCTGTTTATGGAATGAACAGGTATTTTGGCATCTGGTCCTGAAATTTAGACTTTTCTTAATAATTCCATGTCCTTTTTAAGAAGTAACAGTAAAGAATCATTCAGTATTGACTGAAATGCTTCAATTTTTAAAACTCTATATGCTTTCTTCAACTTAAACAGAGCTTGTCGGAGAAGAGCCGAGAACTAGACAAACTGAAAAACGAATGGACATCATACACTACGGCTCTAACAAACAAACACACGCAGGAGCTGACAAATGAAAAGGAGAGAGCTCTCCAGGTATGACAGCAGGAAGGAATTAACAATAGTCTTGTATGTGAATAGTTTCTTGGCTTAATTTTTAGATTAATTAAATAACTGCTTAGTTTCTTTGCTTCTCATAGGCACAAGCTCAGTACCAGCAACAGCACGAACAACAGAAAAAGGAACTGGAAACGGTGCATCAGAAAAGTATTCAGCAGTTGCAGAACAGACTCTCAGAACTCGAGGTCATCAATAAAGACCTAACAGAGAGGAGATACAAAGGAGACTCCACAGTCAGAGAACTGAAGGCAAAGCTTTCCGGAACAGAAGATGTATGGTTTATTAATTTCTATAACCAAACTTACTATTCTTAGAACATTAACACTGCCTGCCTATGCATGCAATAGAAAAGATAGTGTTTTAAGTTTGTTCAGCTCCTCTTCATTCCACATTATGCTTACGATTTAGGTGTGTCTGTTTTAAATTACTATTACAGGTTTTCTTAAAAAATAAAATAACACAACATTCCTTCCCAACGTTCTAGGAATGTCAAAGAGCAAAGCAGGAGGTGCTGTCGCTGCGTCGGGAGAACACTACTCTGGATGCTGAATGTCATGAGAAAGAGAAACTGATTAATCAGCTGCAGACACGGGTTGCTGTTCTGGAACAAGAGATCAAAGACAAAGATCAGCTCGTTGTCAGAACAAAAGAAGTATTAGATGCGACACAAGAACAAAAGGTTCCTTCAAGTTTCAAAATCATTTTCTTTAAAGCTCTGTAGAACCTTCTTAGCTGCGCTCTCTGTAGAGCAGCAGCTGACCAGGTTTGTGAATACAGCAAGTAAGCTTCCAAAGGGAGTTAAAGATCCTAAATCAGGGCAGCCAAAGTAAACCGGATGCAATTTTGCGAATGTCACTACTGTTTTAATGTTGTACTGGAGTAAAGTCGGTGGTACTTTTTGTAAACAAAAAAGTGGGTGAGTTGAGGTCCTGTGTGGCTTCACTGAAAAGCAAGGACTGAATTTCTTGTAAGGGTTAGCTCTCAAAGCGTTACTGAGGCTCTGTGTGAAATC